AGAAACAAATCAAAGAAATAATTTAGGAATGCGTTTATTGAGTCATAATTAAACAGTTTTTCTCAAACTGAATTGTAATTTTAATTGTGATACGACATTTTGCCACATAGCAATCAAACTGAATGCATTTTAAATCTTCCATAACATACAGTAAACCTTGTAAATAAACAGTTTTTGGGCCTCCCAGCAGTCTGTCTTTGTCCTCTATCCTACCAGCTGATTAATGGAACTCACTTGTCAGCTCCCAGTCAGATTGACTAATAGAGTTAACGACAGGTCAAGTAATTTCCAGTTTGTCACAGTCTAATCTTGTCTGGTCCAGTTAAAACCTAGCTCAGCTCAGATCTCTTCTCTTCACTCCAGTCCTCAGCCCCCCAGTCCCGCTCTGGTCACTGAAGGTCAACCTGGATGTGAATTAATTTACTGCAAATAAATCAGCTAAATTAAAACGGCAAACTGCAGCTCATTACAAAAAGGTCAGACACATACAAGATGCTGGGGTCACGATGGTTCCTCCTGCCTCTTCCTCTGTGGCTAATGGAGTTTAATCAGCCTCATTATTGCTGAAATAAATTACCTGAAGTACAACGAGTAAAATTATTCACACACTTACAGGTTTTGGGAATGGCGGTCAATCTCGCAACGGCTGTAAATAACCCCTGATAACATTTATACTTCAGAAGCACCATGGAAACTGGAGTCAGTATCTTCAGTCCACTTGACAATGCCGGTAACTGGAGGCATTCATTTGTCTGTCAGCTGTTGATAAAGGGGTCCACTGACAGCGGAGACATCTTATTTTTGTTCCTGCAAACACAATACTTTGAAAAAGACGACAGAGTAAAATATTTACATCACTTTCTGACCGATAAATCTCCCATTTCTGACCGTGACGGCGCTCCGCTATCTGCCGGCAGAGATAACCTGACAGCCGCTCGTTCGGGGGATTTCTGTTCCGCAGCAGACTGAGACTGAGAGTCCAAGGTCAGATTGAGGATTCAGGACCTGTGTCTTCCTGGCAGTGGTTGCTTTGTCACGCCTCTTCTGAAGCCGAACTGTGTTTGAACTCGACAGGATGAGGATGAGCCACGAGCGTGTTTGTGGCCTTTTGAGTATTTTAAAGGTTTAGGGTCTCGACTAGGACTTCTATTTGAAAATACCAACAACACTTCAGCTGGGGCAGTGAGTCAGCGCTGAATGTTTCTTTTTCTTTCCAGCTTCATTAGAGCCGTTTGACTGTAAGAAAGCAGCAGGAAACTCACCTCGCTCTTTGAATATATGCCTCTCAGACGATTCAAGTATTTAGATGCATAAATAACGCACAATTATGGTACAGTCTGTGTGAATACTCGACTCAGACTGGCTGCAGGGTGATAATTACGGTTTAAATTAATGCACAGCTTTGGCAGCAGCTGGCTGCAGATACCTCTACACTATAAATTAATTAAATGAAAAAGATGAATATGTTATTTACAGCACTGAAGGGCAAATTTACAAAGAATGGATGGATTTTTTTTTGTTTCATTCCCTCTTTTTGTCTTATTTGGCTCGTTCTTCAAAAAGCTGCACAATCTGCGAGAAGCTCTGAACTTACTGACACTTTGGATGAGCAGTCATCTCACATCCTTCTGGCTTGATATTGATTTGGGGACAAAGACGTGGCTGGATAATGTATCTTGTCAAATTATAATTACTGTTTGTCAACCGTACGCAGTGTTATTGACTTAGCAAAGCGTTAGCTTTCTTGCCCGTAGCTGAGCGAAGCGGACTAGAAGTCTCTCCCGTTACCAAGTCGTATCTAAAGTTTGCTATTTTACTTTTTAGAGTAGATAGCAATGTTTGCATTACATAGGAACCCTATGGGATGGTGATGATTGTTTCAGGTATTAGTCAACCCCTCGATGTTACCAGGGAAATTAATAAATAAATAAATGATCTTAATTTATGATCTTAATTGTCTATCTTTGGCTTGTGACTTTCTGGCCTCCCAATGGTGCATAAATTCCTGATAATGGACACCTTAGTTGTGCATTATCCCATATATACATATACTATCAATACACACACACACAAAGTAGCAATAAAAACCATGTAAGGTGACTAGCTTTATGTGTGTGCGTGTGTTTGTGTTGACTGCTGGTACGTGTAACTTCATAAATGAGCAGCAGGGTTGGCGGTGCAGCTTTGTTTAGGATGATTCAGTACTTCGGTTGAGATTTCGGGGCTGCATCGTAAGTGTTTCTCTCTGCATTCAGGTGGTTTGACACCCGCTCCTCTTCCCCTCGCGCCCCCCAGAACAGCCTTGTTGAAATGCAGATCTGTATCGCAGCTGCAATAATAGGTTCAATTTACAGTGTCAGACTGAGTCCTAACCCACTTGTGTGACATTAGCATATTTATCATCATCTGCAAGGTTTTGTCCATAATGAGCCAGACAGCACATTCAAAGCCTTCAGAAACTGGGTACAATTATATGAGTTTCCTGTTGATGCAAATATAGTTTTGACAGTTGAATCTGTAAACTGTTTACCGTTCTATATTTGCAAATTGATTGATTTGAGGTTTGTTTTTTTGGTTGCATTTTTGTTGCGATACGTCATTTATGTTTGTGTTTACGTCACTTTTTGGTTGGAATTTTGAACATTTTGTAGTTGAGGAGCACTAAATTAAATACTGAGTAAAAGAAAGTTAATTAAATATTAGTATAACTGATTGTTTAAGTCATTTTTCAAGCAAAATATTACCTCACATTATCTTGTTCAAGCTCCTCGGTTCTAAGGATTTCCTGCTTTTCTTTGTCTTATAGTACATTTTGGGGTTTGAAACTAGCCATACATGTCACCATGAGCTTGATGAAAAGGCTTTAAGTGTAATCTGTGTATTTCTGCCCACTTTCTAACATTTTATAGAAAAAATACTTAATTGACTATTCAAAAAGCCAATAATAATATTTAAGGATGGGCAATATTTAGTGAATGGTTTCCACAAGTTAGATTAAAATTGACATTTCTTTGGCCGTATCACCCATCCTACATTAATCGATAACAATTGTTAGTTGCTGACTCCGTAAGAAAACTGCATTTCAAGACACGAAGTTGTAAAGACACGCACACTGTATAACTTGCAATACTACATTTATTAACAGCACCTCTGTACCAGACCTTCATCAGGCAAAATGGTTGGCCTCATCCTACTCCTACGCATCTGCCTCATGAAATAGATGTGCAAAATGTTGACTGTTGAAATTATTTTAATAATCCAAGTCCTCATTTTTGTGATTTAAGTCCAAGAACCAAACTCGATCTATAGCTAAATATGCTAACCTCTGCAATCTGTGCTTAACTCTCCCTCAGCGGGTGTCTTATACCAGTGATGAAACCACTGGAAACATCTGTGCCGACTGCTGTTTGCTCCTCGCCTCCCTGTTTTACTTTCCAAACACGTGTCATAACAATAATCAGATGTAAACCTTGTCTTCTACAGTTCATCGCAGTGTTTCTTGGACCAGAACTTAAATTTTTTATGCACGCAAGTTCAATCTTTTTGTTCTTTTGGTACCATAGCAGTATTTACTGAGGAAGATGGGTGTTATTAATTATTTTCCACACCCAGCAATTAGCTCGTTCTTACTGACACACACATGCAGATGGTTATCAGCAGTTCTTTTTCCCTGGATTCATCTTGACGGCTCCCTACCGCTTGAAATTTAATCCCACACTGCGTGGAAAAATGTAAAACAATCAAACCGCCTGCTCCCAACATAAACAAATGTGGGGCAATTATGGTGCAATAAGTCAACATGATAAAACCTACGCAAATAAACATAAACGCGCAAACAAGCAGAGCTTCTAGACCTTCTCCAGGAGGCAGCGGTTCACAGGGATTACACGTATTAACAAGACTAGAGCCACTAATACTGCGGGATGAGGCTTAGCCTTGGTCTGCTAAATGTATGTGGAGTCACTAATCTGCACTGCTTCAACTGTCTGTCCGTCCATCACTGTCAGTTCACGTTCAGGTTGGAGGGTTTTATCTCTGGTAGAAACCCAGCTACTGGGCTCCTGCTGTCTGCTGGTTCTCTGCAAGTCCTCAAATGTCAGATAGAATTAGGTGAAGTTGAGGCTTTTTTGAGGTCTTTAGTGAAGTGAAATGTACAATTTTAAGTCTTAAACTTTGTTTTATAAATGTTATTTTGGTCTAAATGAATAATAGAAAGTTGTTCACTCACCCCATAGTGGTGAAGCCATGCAGACAGTTTCAGTTTTATTTGCTGTGGTTTTGAGATCTCTGCTGCTGCTGCTGCTGGGATTTCTACCTCCTGGAGTTTGTTTATGTGCAGCACTGGAAAAAGAAAAATCTAAACAGCAATGTGCAAGTTAAGATACTTCACAGAACACAGTGTGAGCAGTTTTCACGGGGAACTATTTCCCTCTAAAAGTAAAAAACAAAATGTGTCCTCAGTCAGGTGAAGTCTTATTATGATGACTTACAGTGTTGTTGTTTCTGTGAAGTTTTTTTTAATGTAAGCTTTGATTCGTTTACCATCACAAGACTACTTCCATTGCATTAAGATGTCAGCAGAGCTCAAATCATCAGCAGCTAAAGCTCCGTGCTGCAACATCAGCCCTTTTCTTGTGGCCTGAATGTGTTTCGATTTTGTAAATTGGCACCATCACAAGGAACCGAATTAGCTGTTAGCAGTTCCTGTTTGCAATGTGCCCAAAGACTTACAGACAACTATCACTTAATTATAAAATGATGGTTGTCAGGCAAATTCTGTAGTTATGAGGATCATACGTGTGTGTTCAGATTTGATTCCTTTGATGCAAACGTCGCTCCGTTTCGTTGTGTTCTTTCTCTCTCATGACTCTGTGAGATGTTTAAGCTTTCTTTCTAATGAGCCTGTACTTCATCCACTTCTATTTATTGCAGTACTGTTGATATTCCTCCTCCTGGTCATCCTCCGTAGTAACTCTCACGTCTGCCTTTCTTTCTTCCAGGCTGGCCAGATGAATCCCATGACACAGTTGTACTACAAGAAGGTGAGTCAAACACACACACAGACAATGTCGTCGCAGCCCCTAAAGTCTTAACACTCACACAGCCCTCTGACAATGTAAAACATCCTCACTGTAAAGGTCTAAAACTCTCATTGGTAGGGATTGGGATGATATACGATATCGTGTATCGCAGTAAAAAACACACAATGATCATTTCCATTTTTGTGATAATCATGAATATCCTCACTTAGCTTGACTGGATAAAGCTGTCCAGCTCACTATCTAACAGTCCTATATTGATTTCCTGATTTATTTTGAACAAGCGGACAAGGGGGAGCCCACATCTTTCCTGCCTGCCTGTTGCATCCCCTCCAAACAAAAGTTAATCAGGATGTGTATTATAAAATATTTTGGCCAAGATAATCTTGAAATTAAATTTTCATACCATTGCCAAGTCACTGGTCCTCACAAGGATAGATGGACAAGAAAACACAAAGAGGGAAAAAGACTCACAGATAGCCTCAGCTCTTATGTGATGATAATTGACTGTGTTTGAAGAGTTGGTTTATAAAATCAAACATCCACCACAGAGTGAACTTGATACGACAGAGAATTTCATTTTTGCAAATCAACAAACAGCCGATTTATTTGACTTATAATCCAGTTGAAGCCCTAAACCAAACAGTGAGAATCAAATATTTACAGTTTGAGCCACGCGGCTCCGGGGACAGCGGTGTCAGTCCCGGGTCTCAAAAGCCTCTTTCACTGCTGTCCTGATTAATTACCGTGACGCAGTGGTGAATGTGATCGATCAATCATCATCACCCGCTGAATCGCACACACACCCTGACGCGTCTCATCTCGTTATCAGTGGAGTTTCTAGATACAATCTCCTCACTCATTAAGTATGCGGACATGTGCTGTATGCGGAAGCAGCTCCGCTCATTTCCCCCTGAAGTTTAACGTAATAAAAGTGTAATCATAGCTTCAGAACATGCTCTTTATTTCAGCTGATGTGTTGTCTTAAAAGTCCTAAACCTTATCATCTAAGTCACATCAAACTATTTTCTTCTCTAGATCACACAACCCATTAGCAACTGACAGTCTGCACATTTAAAACAAGCCTGTCAGATTTAATAAATCACTGAAGTTACAGGAAAGCCTCCTCATTTATGGATTTATTCTGGTTTATATCTGAGTCACTGTTTGTGAAAAAGGAACACCAACTATTGCAAATGATTTAGTTAAAATTAAAACTAAAATTGTGCTTTAAAAAAGTTTTATTGGCAAGTTTTTGTATTTTTTTACAGGCTTACATTTTCTGTATGTGCAACTTTTTTGTGTTGTTATTGTTTGTTGTAGGCGACGTACTCGCCGTACCGCGATCGCATCCCGCTTCAGATCGTCCGGGCTGAGGTGGAGCTGTCTGCCGAGGAGAGGGCCTACCTCACGGCTGTGGAGAAAGGTACGTTCTTATCTCTCTTAGCAATATATTACAGCTCCAGTCACCTTTTAAACGGGTGATCTGTTGAACGGTGGCAGCAGCTGGTTGGTAGCCACACAGTTCACAGGTGTCATCTCTGCACCAGCTGACAAGTGCTTCAGCAGACGGTTGTCTTGACTAAATGTCCTTGAACAAGATACTGAAACTCAAACTGTTCACTCAGTAGGAGAATCACATTCTTCCTATTTAGTTTTGGGTGATAGGAACTCAAATGAATGCAGTTAAGTATTTGAAATCACACAACAAAAGTCATATTTCTCTTAATAAATATTTATTTTAATTGTTTTGAGGTTATTCATTCTTCAGTCTGGCTCACAGGAAGTAGGCTTTGCCATTGGCCGACTATTTTAGTCCTATCTGCAAGGGCCCCCGTTGCTTCTGCATCCTGGGCTGAATTAGGTTAAATAAACTATCCAGACTGGAAAACCTTGAAAATCTGGATATTTAAAGATTTGTTGTCTAGTCCTGGAAACACCTGGGAATTGCTTAAAATGACCAAATATCCTGGAAAATAATCCATGTTGTCCTGGAACACAACATCGCCTATGTAAACCTGGGTTATAGAGGAAAACTGTAGTAAACTGCAGTCAAATCCACAGAGACTGCAGAAAAACCGTTGGTGGTGAGAACAGCAATGTCCAATAAACTCTGACTACCTAAATACAAGTTATGAGCATTTGTGAGCAAGTGCTGTCCTATATTGTCAAGAAAACTCCTGGAAAATGTCCTGGAAAGGTCGTGGAAAATGTCCTGGAAAGTTATTTCTTAATCAGAGGTATTGGTGCTCCCACTTTGTGACACCATGTCAACAGTCACAGTTATTGTGCCCTGTGGAAAACTGACACATTTCAAACTGCTTGTCAGTTCCTTCAACCATCAACCCCTCCGCCCTCCCTCTGCCTCTCTAGGTGACTATGCGGGCGTCAAACATGCCCTCCGCGAGGCGGAGGTCTACTACAACATGGATGTGAACTGCCTGGACCCGCTGGGCCGCAGCGCGCTCCTCATCGCCATCGAGAACGAGAACCTGGAGATCATGGAGCTCCTGCTCGACCACGGCATCCACACCGGCGACGCCCTGCTCTACGCCATCAGGAAGGAGGTGGTGGGCGCCGTGGAGCTGCTGCTGTCGCACAGGAGGCCCAGTGGCGAAAAACAGGTGTGTGTGTGGACGTCTACGTGTGTGTGTGCGTGTGTGTGCGTGTGTGTGCGTGTGTGTTTAAACAAGGGAGAGAGAACGTACTCTCAATGGATGTATGTCAATGTGCTGCATCCAGACGCATTCATGCATGCATGTGTTTGCATTTAATCATCTGTAAATGTGCGTCCGTGTGTGTTTTTCCATTTGTGTGTTTTTCCATTTGTATGTGCTGTGTGTGTGTGTGTGTGTGTGTGTGTGTGTGTGTGTGTGTTTTGTGTATGTTAATGAGTAGTACATCCATTCATTGTAATGCTCCATGCCACATTCTGCTGAGAGGAGGGAGATTAAACAGCTCATTTTATAGACACACTGTGAAATAGGATTTAGAGACAGACAGTATATTTGTCTGCCTGCTGTGTTTGTGTGTGTATGTTTGTGTGTGTGTGTGTGTGTGTGTGTGTGTGTGTGTGTGTGTGTTTGTGTGTGTGTGTGTAGGGAGCGAGAGAGAGAGAGAGAGAGAGGGTAAAAGAACATGTTGCACAGTTCAGTTGACGTGTAGGTGTTAAGGGGGATCGAGGAGGAGAGATTCAGAGCGAGGAAGTGAAAGAGTGAGCAAGATTTAAAGTCATAAGGGAGAAGAGATGAAGAAGAGGAAGGAAGGGGGGGGCAGGATGAAGAGAGTGAGAGAGACATTGGAAGAGAAAAGAGAGATCAGAGAAAGAGTAGGGAACAGGGAGATATTTTCAAATAAAGGAAGAGGACAAGATAAGAGAGGAGAACAGAGACTTCTCCTTGTACATTAATTCCTGGACCGCGTGAGGCTGCGAGGTGTCCACGTCACCATGGCAACCAACCCTTGGCCGAAGCAGAGGATTGTGGGAAGGTTTTGGTCGCCTCTCAGTTGGACGAGGATGGGAACAAATCTGCTCTCGCTGTGTTTCTGTTTCTCATTTTTCTGTACTCTTTTTGATGTTGAATAATAATAACTATACCATTTATTATAAACTGTATAAAAAGGGGGGTGAGTGTTGCTCAGTAGCTCCTGAGGCTGGGGTGAGCGAGGAAACATCAGGTCGCCATGGTAACATATGCTCCTGCTCTGGACGTTCAACACATCGACGCCATAGAAGCACCGCCTACTGACCAATCACGTCCCTTCGGAAAATGACATCTCTATTCGTAGAAGATCCTGTGGTTGTATTAATAATTAAGACCTAAGTTCTCATAATACATCCATGAGAAGACCCCCACGGTGCAGCGCCCGGGCTGAGTTAACGGTCGTATCAGTTTATAGACAGACTGGAGGAAAAGAACAGAAAGATTGACTGTACAGTCGGTAGATCGGCTGTTTGTAACCAATAGACACAGACGTATTTATAGGACTGTCAAATCACAAACCAATCATCGTTCACTGCATGAAAAGAATAAAATCTGGACGCGGAAACATCACAGCCTTATGTATTATGTATTTCGCACCCCCAGTTTAATACCACTGTGCTAAATCCTAACAAGTTGACAGCTTTGCTAACAGCCAAACAACAGCAAGAAGGCCCACCGACGGCGAGTTTTCAGCTTTTTATTTCACCAAACTCTCGCCAGCAACTAAAAGCCAGTCAGAGATCTGTCTGCTCATGTCCGACGGCTCCTCTCTAACTTCTAACTTCCTCCGTGGTCTCTTTGCCTCTGCCATTAGCTGTGTTCTTAGAAGCTGCTGAGCACGGTTACATTGCCCCTCCCCGCGGTCCAAAGCTCCAGTCTGTAAGTGTGCTGCAATACCAAATAACACCACTAGGTGGCGCCTCCTTGTTTTGTTGTGATGTACTGCAGAGTTGTACGCACGCTGATACTCCGACTGACATCCACATGAGAGACTTCACCTATGATGTCTGCGTTCGACTGTCTGAGTTAATCCAAACCAGCCACGTTACGCTACCAGCGAAAGCACCAACAATGTGATGAAGTGTGACTTGGTGCCGTAAAATGTTACGTAAGACGAAGAAGGAGAACAGGGCTCAGAGTGGGAGCGACAGAATGACACATGATTTTAAAGCTGTTATTTTAAGGTAGAAAAGTTACATAAAGTTGCTTTAAAGTACCCGTCCGTGTGTGTGTGTGTGTGTGTGTGTGCATGTGAGTCCTATATCGAGAGCTGACGTGTGTGTGTGTGTGTGTGTGTGTGTGTGTGTGTGTGTGTGTGTGTGTGTTTTCTAAACTGCTCTTTCTCAGCTGACAGGTGGAGTCGATGCCTTTTATCTTCTCTGCAAAACTGTTGACCTTTCTGCCATCCCTCTCCGTCTGACTCAGTCTGACTCCCCCTCTCTCTCTTGTATTACCTCGCTCTCTTCATCCTCCCCCCCAACACCCCCCTCGCTCCCCTCTTTCTCCCGTCCTGTCCTCTCCTACTCCCCCCGATTACCAATAACCAAATGCGGTTTTCTACATCACCGGCTCGCCAGAAATGGAAGGAAAGAGGCCGCACTCGAGGAAGGAAAGAAGGAAGGAAGGGAGTGTTAAACATTGGAGAGGAGCATGAAATCTCAAAGTCTTTGCTTTGAGCGTGCAGAGAGGAAAGGAGGGAGAGTTGCATGTATGAGGGAGGGAGAGAGGAAATCCAGATGGAGAGAAAGGGAAGGAATGAGAAATGAGGGAGATCAGGAGAGAGAGAGAGAGAGAGAGAGAGAGAGAGAGAGAGCGAGAGAGCTATGCAGATGAGAAAAGGTTTTTCAGGCTCCCTCTCACACTTTCCTTTGATGTGTGAAGTGTATGAAAAAAAAGATTTAAGTGCGCATGTGTGTGTTTGTGTCGCTGGAGTCGAAGATGATTTTTGGGTTGTTTTGATCTGTGTGTCTGCGTGTGTGCTTCTGTGTGTGTGTGTGTGTGAGCTCGTGGTTGTGTGGATGCACATATTAGCAGTCAGTTTTGATTATTGTATAAATTAGTGTTTTCTGTATTTATTTAGTCTTAAAAAAACAGATTAATAACACAAAAACATGATTTGCAGCACAAACGTTTTACTGTTTATTGTTTATTGGAAGAGTTCACGGGGCCGATCAGTCCGCAGTTCCAGTCAATCAGCAGCTTCTTTGTGGGAGTTTTTCTTTATTTTTATCTCTCAGGTTGCAAAATATGAATGGTTTAGTGTTATTAAGCACATTTACTAAGTGAGTACGTAAGTGTAATTTTAAGTTAGTTTTGAGGTATTTCCATTCCATGCAACTTTATACTTCTACATCTCAATCAATGTTGTACTTTTTACTTCCCTACATTCTCTGATTGCTTTAATTACTTTTCAGATTAAAACTTTTCATACCCTTCCTGTCTAGTGAAAATCATGTAAACTCCACATTTTGTGATTTTCAGGTTTTTTTTGATAAACTAAAGATTCTAGTGTTCCTTTATGACTACATTTTCCTACTTCTTAAGCGAAATAAACTTTTTTTTTAAACATTAAGCAAGACTACGGAGAGGTAACTACAGACAAAGATAGGCGACTACATCAGAGCTATCAAGTTGCATGTTTTTAAATGAGTTACATTTTTGGGATTACAAAGAGAGTAAAGTACCAGAAGAAGCCATTAGGTACTGGTACCGAATTCAAGGTACCCTTACTGGTTCAAATGTGAATGGTACCAAACCCCTACAGCTAGAACTCATTAAGTAGCACATCATATCTCGTTTGTTTAATCTGTAAAAAAAAAAAAAACAGAATTTTGAAACAATACTAGTAAAAATGAGTCCTAGACACACAAAATTAAATAATAATGAACAAATATTTTGTGTTGGTGCAGAAAAAGTCACTGAACATATGTTAATGGTAATTAACATTATTAATTGAAAACCGATTGATTTTCTTCCTCGTTGTTTCATCTGGGCAGCCTTTCGGTTAAAAATCTGTGTTTTTAATTTAGCTTCAGTACTTTTATTGTTATTTAACATATGATTTTGGTATTGAAAAAGTATTGAAGTAAAGATAGATTTGACAACATTAGCAAGAATGGCACTGTTTTACTGTTAGGGAGTGCGGCATTAGTTCTTTGCTAGGAAACCAGCAGAGACTCCAAGAAGTTACAGAAATGTGAATAAATATATGTATTTCACAAACTGTTGAACTATTTAAGGCTTAAGGCTCCAGTTGAGGTCAGGTCTGATTATCAGTGGATCAGTTTGGACCAAGTTGGTCCATTTGGTGTAAAGTAATGCATGTGGAGTTAGAGTTTGGTGGAAGACCTCTGATATAAAGTTTAATGTTTTAGGTTTAAGTTCTCTAATATGGATCGGTCCTTGTGCGAGTGTATTCTGAACCGTTCTCAACACCGGCAGCAGGAGACACGGGAAGATTTAATGCATGATTAATCAAGTTTTAGACGAATAAACACTCTTGTACAGTATGTAGATAATTCTGTTGGAGTGTATTTGACTTGAGTTTGTTCATATTTACCTGAGTGTGTGTTCTCTCCCCGTCTCTTTAATCAGTGTGTGATGCCAAGCCCGTGGCAGCTGTTCTCACACTCCTTATCACGCCAGGAGGAGGAAAAAAGAAAAGAGAGGGAGTTAGAGGTAGAGAGATCAGATGAGGAAAAAAGGTTTTGGCAGCAGAGAGGAGAGAAAGAGGAGGAGGGAGTCGATCAGAAGAGGACAAGAAAGAGGAAACAGGTAGAAAAACAAAGATGGCAGGGGGTCAGACGAGGAGAAGGAGACGGTAGACGGAGTCGTGGGGGGGGATGAAAGGTGGAAAAAGAGGAGGAGAAGGAGGTGAGAGGAGTGAAAGACAGAGGAGGAGGTAGAGAGAGTGGAGATAAGATAAGATGGATGAAGAGAAGCACTCTGCTTCATTCTCCCTCTGAGAGATGAAAGAGAGTCCACACGTGTTCGCTCCACTCCTCCCTTCTCCCTTATTCCCTCCTCTTCCTCACTTCCTCAAGCCTGCTCCTCTCACTCCTTCCTCTGATGTCTTGGAGTGTGTGTGTGTGTGTGTGTGTGTGTGTGTGTGTGTGTGTGTGTGTGTGTGTGCGGCGGTATCGTAGGATCTGGTCGCATATTTAGAATTTGTAAGCAGTATATAAACATTTAATAAATAGTTTATAACACACTATAATGTGTTTATGAACATATTTGTCAACAACTATGATAAGTGTCAACTGGTGTATGAACAGATAAATGACAATATACACTGTGAAATACAATATTTTACTTTTACAGTAAATTATGGGCTAATAAATGCAGTAAATTCACAATTCATCTTATTATTAATTTACAGTAATATAGACGAAAATCACAGTAAGTTATTGTGTTTCTACAGTAACTAGTCATAATATTAGGCTACATAACTTATAACAGTATTTTAATGTGAAATTACAATATATTGTGATACTTCACAACAACTGCCTGTAAATAATCACTTTAATTTACTTTAATAGATATTCATATACTTCTAAATGCTAAATACAAAAGGTTAAAGTCTTAATTTGTTACTTCAATCTTATTTATTTCTCAAGTCAGAAATTACTGAGGTTGCAGTTTGTTTTGTTGTTGAATTGTTGCATTCGACAGCACCTGTGTTGAATATCTCTTGTATTTTAATTAGGAGTTTATCCAAAATGTGGACAATTAAGAGAGAAATGATCTCCTCCTCCAGTACATTGCATATGGCTGCAGTCTATTATTAGCTAGTGAAGAAGAAAACACATATTTTTAACACACAGAAATGTATTTTTTTCACACATTTTCTGTATTATTTGTTTTATTTTTTTGTGAAACACTCTCTAAAATATAAAATAATATATCTCTAAAATATTTAAATCAAGTGAAAGGCACATGCAGTCAAAAGCACCTACTGCTGCATGTAACAATTATCTTGTATTTTATATTATTATTGTTTGTAACTGGACTTTGAGTTTTAGTTTTGACTTTGGTAATTCGTTCCGTTCCAGGCAGCCATTGGTTTCCATTTATTGGAATATGGATGACATACTGTAAGTGTCAAGAGTATGCTAATATATATTTGTATTGTGTGGGAATGAATGGCTGCTTGGTAAACCAGGAAAAAATGATCCAAATATCACATGGTTTGGAGAACGGTCTGCTCTTCTGTACCATTTATTGTAAATGGACTCAAACAAGCGCAACTACTGCTTTGGACCTTTAAACTCTCTTATCATAATATATCCATTATCCTCTCTTTCCCATCCGCCCATAATGGCGGACCACCTGGTTGTCGCTCGGTAATAAAACGCTCTTTCACTCTCTTGTTTCTCCCAAACCGCAGCAGCTGTTCAGAGTTGTGTCAATGAGGGATATAATGAGTTTTGTAGAGGATGTGACTTTAAAATAAATGTACCTCTGCTGCGTCGTCGGGCAGGAAACTTCTTTTGTCGAATGCATTACGTTAATTTAATTAGTTTTAATCTGATTCAAGTGAGTTTAATTTGATTCGTCATTCGGCCAATTTGTCTTTTGCTTTGAGTTGTTCCCCTTACGCTTTGTGGCTTTTAAATTGCACAATAAAAGCTCATTAGAGTTTCGGATTTGAGATATTTCTCTGTTTTAGCTGCACTTCTAACAAATCAAAATATCAGCCTGGCATGGGATTATTTGATTTGAGCGTTTTATGAAGGCTCTTTTTTTTGTTCTTTGTTCCTCTCCAGGTTCCCTCACTGATGATGGACAGTCAGTTTTCAGAATTCACCCCAGACATAACTCCCATCATGCTCGCTGCTCACACCAATAACTACGAGATCATCAAGCTCCTCGTCCAGCGGAAGGTGAAGACACAAGTTTCTCTCTAGAGCAGCTAAATCTTCAGTCAGTAATTAGATGTGATGATTTATCCTCTGTTTGGTTGTTGTTCTCTATAGGTCACCATTCCCAGACCACACCAGATACGATGTGACTGTGTTGAGTGTGTGTCCAGTTCAGAGGTAAGTAATTATTTTTATGGTAATCTAGTAATCCATTAACTGTCTTTGTTAGTCTTTCCACTGTTCCAACAATCACCAACTCTGCTTTGGTCTAAATAAATCCTTAATTCACCAACGTAGATGAAGAGGAAAAAACGCTGTATCTGATAGATAGATAGATAGATAGATAGATAGATAGATAGATAGATAGATAGATAGATAGATAGATAGATAGATAGATAGATAGATAGATAGATACTTTATTTATCCCGAGGGTAATTCAAGGAACGTGCAAATACGATGCCTACTCGTCCTGTCCTGGAATAGTCCTGGAAAATGATGTCTTCATCGTCATTCTTTGCTGAGGACACTGTATACTATAGCTATATCCCATATATATAACCTTTAAGTAAATACTGTGAGTATACAGCAAAGACTCAAACTGGGTTTTGTAAACTATTTCTAAGATCGACTGATTGACCGATTATGGTGCAATATGGTTTTCTTTCTCCTCTTTATCTCTCTTTGTGTCCTTCTGTAGGTTGACAGTCTTCGGCATTCACGGTCTCGACTCAACATCTACAAGGCTCTGGCCTCGCCGTCCCTCATCGCGCTGTCCAGTGAAGATCCCATCCTCACAGCCTTCAGACTGGGCTGGGAACTCAAAGAGCTCAGCAAGGTATCGACATTGATGCCTTCTGGTTGAGTGGTTACTGGAAAAGGAAAAAGGAATTGTTTGAACCAGAAGGTTCAGTCTGCTGCACACTGACTTGTCAGTGAAGTATTTGGACCAGGGAGTGATTGGCTCCATGATTTCTGCCAGTTTTTTATTTCCACAATATACAGCTTATTGTCAAATTAAACGGCACACAATAAAAAGCTGGTCCACCAGGAGCCTCCAGGGCAGCCTCAGTCCTCCTTGGCATCGACTCTCCGAGCACCCAAGTGAACCCTACTGGAGGGATGCCACATCCTAAACTTGATGAGCTGTTAAAACTGCTGTGGAAGCAGCAAACATCAAATATAATTAATGTTACTCCTTTGCCTCAAGTGTTTCCTGTACTTGTTCTATTATAAATGTTTACCTTTATTTTATTGTGTACATTCTCTTTTCATTTGCTATAAGATCTAGCAATGTAATCGCAAGAATCCTCACACCTAATCATAAACTGTAGTAATTCCTTTAAGCTAAGAAATCTTCGGTAACAAGAAACATTTTTTTCTCCTCAGGTGGAGAATGAGTTTCGCCAGGAGTACGAGGAGCTGTCGCAGCAGTGCAAACGCTTTGCCAAAGACCTTCTGGACCAGGCCAGGAGTTCTAGAGAGCTGGAAACCATCCTGAACCACAGAGACAATGACCAGAGCGAGGAACTGGACCCCAGACAGTGCCACGACCTGGCCAAGCTCAAACTGGCCATCAAATACCACCAAAAAGAGGTAGGGAGGAGAGGAGTGACATTTTAATAGGCTGATCTTTTTGCAAACTTCTCTCAAATACGCCGTCATCGAGCTGAATTGTTTCCATAGTTACTTAGAGTTGTCAGTTTTAAGGAGCAAGCTGGTTCACCTGACAGCAGAGTGTCTGAATATATTGCTGCGAACTGCGAGAGTATAGTAGGCTACGTATGTGTGCTCGCATATGTAGTTTGTATTATTTATGTATGTGCACCCTCACTGGTGTCAAGGTTGGTTATCAAATAGCAGCAGACAGAGTAGACACAGTCATTATATTTATTTATAGCCACACTTTCAGCGTGGCTCTAGGGATGGCATTGTTGAACTGTCAGTAGGCTACAACACTTTGGGAGTGAAATATTGCGCAACTTTGACATTTAGTGCTCTAACTTAGCATGTTAATTTTATTTATTTATTGCTGTTGGTACTGAGTAAATTGAACTTCATTTTGGGAACAATAACGAACATCTAATCTAATCTAATCTAAACTAAATATCCTTAGGTTCTTATCTTAACGTCAATACTAAAAAGCTAACACTGCATTGTTAAACATTGCATTTCAACATCCTCATTGACAAGGTGTACATATTCAGATGTTACAGACAGTACAGGCATATAGATAGTTGTGTATATAAAGTTAAGTATGTTATGCTAATTGTCTTATGGTGAACTACAATATGTCCATATATACAGTGTTGGGTCATAATTGATTACATATAATCAGGATTACAAAATCAAATTACAGCAAATAAGTAAGTATAATCAGGTACATAAGGTATGAGGTATATATTTTACATTTTGATTTTGAAGTACTCGAAAAGTCCTTTTTTGAAATCCAATGGATTACATTAATTACAAAAATTGCCATGTAATTTGTATTCAGTGACTATATTTCAAAGTAATCTGCCCGAGCGCTGCATATACAGTATATCATAGGCAATATGGCACAATGTCACTGGTATAGGGTCATGCTTAGATCTGTATCATTTTTCTGTATGTTGCCATTTCATGATAATGGACAAGAACTCTCTGCCCTACTTACATCTATCAAAACACACACACACACACACAATAACGCAGTACATTTCCTTGTCTTTGAGGAATTGAGAGACTTTGTTACTCTCCTCTTGGGGCTTGTCGGAGGAGAGTGAGAGTGCAAGAGGATTTACGCAATAGAAACAGAAAGAAAGTGGAAAACAGAGGAAGGGCTTTTGGGCAGGTATGTTTGGGGGGGGGATAAATGGCACATAGAGGGAAAAGCATTGGACTGAGTGAGATAATGAGCCGGAGCAACTGTGAGCGGATACAAAGCGAGCAAAAGCGAAAGAGAGATTTAATGGCACAGAAAGAGAGAAGAATGGAGAGCTGGAGGGATCAAGCAAGCGCAAGAGTGAGAAAGAGATGGAGATTTGATGGGATAGAGTTAGAGAAAGAAACAGAGTTAGAAAACCCCAAGGCGATCTCCGTCTCCGTTCGTCCGTCTGCCTGTCGGTTCCCTGCTGTTTGCAGCTTTCTGCAACAGAGGACTACTGCCAGACGGATGTGAAAGGACAGAGCGAGAGGAGGAGAGGAGGGATGACAGAAACCACGGGATGATACGTAGATGGATTGAGGGAGACGGGGAGATAAGAGGAGGAAGTGAAGTGCTTTCTCTCTCTCTCTCTGAGGAGGAGGAGAGGTGACACAGGTAAAGATATGAAGAGGGAAGGTAGATAGAAGGAATACTAGATGTACGGTGACGTGTTTTCATTCCCCGCGTAGAGATTAAAAATGGAGATTTAAAGAGTCAGATAGACACGCAGGCACAAACAACAGAAATAAAATAGAGAAAAGGCTACACTGTGTATCATCCTGGCAAAGTGCACATATAGAGTTCACCTATAACTACTGCTGGAGTTCCCATATTGATACCACAGTGATACTTTTTTGGATATTTTGCTTTGAGGAATAAAAACTTCTTTAAATTGCCTAAATAAAAGCAATACAATTTATCCAAACATGCTGAATGTTACATCTTAACGTGCTAACATTTTAATTTTAAACTAACTGTTAGCATGTTAACATCAGCTACAGTCACATGTTAAATCGTGCATGCTAATAAGCCGATATACTTCAAAGGGCCAGTGTGTAGGATTCAGTTTCATCTAGTGGTGAACTTTTAGATTCCAATCATTTGAATACTGCTCGCCTTCCAAGTGTAAGAGCCACTGTTTGGTTTGTAAGTTCTGAACTAATGTAGAAACAAAGTGGTTCAACATGACGGCCCCCGTTGAAGAGGACCCGCTCCCTCTGTAGACAAAAACTCTTTCCTATTCCTATTTTCAGGTGATTATACACTAATGAAAACATACCAATAATATTATATTCCATTTCTGATAACAGATCCTCCTAAATGTTTCCACACTTGAGCATTTTGAGCATGGTAAATAACTTTTTGGAACAAACAAACAAATGTGCAACCAGTCCAAAGAAGTTAAAGGTTCAGACAGACAACGGAGTTAATCTGTAAACTGACGAAACATCAGGACACTTTTGGATAACATACATGTACTTTGGAGGCTTTTCAGAGAGACGCATATGATGAACACAGAGAACAGGAGGAGTGAATGACTTTTTCACCTTTGGAGGTATGGTGACACAGCAAAAGACAAAGATGATGGAGGGATGTATGAGAGGGAAGACTGGTGGAAGTGAAGTGCTTTTCCAGGCTAAAGGATTTAGGAGGATGGAGGTAAGGCAGGATTGGTGACTTAGGTTAAGATATAGGAGGAACTTTATGTCCCGAACAAAGGGAAGGAGGGAAAGCGAGGGATAGATGGAGCATTAAAGGGTGTCTGCGCTGAGTAGTTGTGGTGAAGAACATTGAGGTGAATGGGACGTGTTAAAAACTGCTTACTTGCCCTTGTGTAGTAGTGACAGAGGTGATGATTTAATACATAATGCAGGCTTAGTAAAGAGGCAGAGGAAGTGGTAGAGGGAGAGATGACTGAAGAAATTAGCATATAAATTGAGAACAAACAAAAAAAAATAGAGCTTTAAATAGATAATTCAATGTGCAGCTAAAACATCAACTCCTCATTGACCAGAACATTTTCTATCACTGCTCACAGTTTGTGACGGTGGAACAATTGCCCCCAGTGACTTAAGTATTTATCTGTTATTTGTTTTTTATGTTGATATTCACAGTACTTTTAAACTTCGTATCTGTAAACCAAACCAACCTCAATGTCCTGGTTGTCTTTGAATACATTTGAACATCTTTTCAAACACAGTAAAAGCTACAGTCACATGTCACAGTGACACAAAGAGTGCAGCAGGTGTTTGTTGTAACATACTTCTACTCCACTACCATTCAAGAGAAAGTGTACTTTTTACTCCACTACAACTAGGCTGTTTCACAACTTAAGTTATTTTACAAATTAAACAGCTGATACAATCAGTCAACTTTGAATCATTTAATTTTTTCTGCTTCTTAAAGGTGATGAATTGTTGTTTTTCCTTTTAATTACTTCCAACAATTTAAATTAAATTGATTCTTTTTTTGGACAAATAGTCAAAAGCACTTTAGATAATTATATAAAACAGACAAGAGCAGCAAATCATTGCATTATGAGATGTTAAATAATGAACTACATTTCTGTTGATCGACCTATCGATTAATAAGTTAATTAGTTAGTTAGTTAGTTACCAGAGTAAAGATTTAAAAAACAAACTCCATAATGAAAGTCAGCATTGACTTACAACTGGTTGATTTACCCTTGTTGTCATCCAGTGCAGAAGCTTGCCTTGTTTTTGAGTAAGTCATTGCAATGAGCTCGAGTTAGTGTCATACTGGGATTATATTGGATTTTTAAGTGTTTTGAACAGACTTTGATTGTTGACCAGGAAAGCTGCAACCCAATTGTGAATTTCCTGGTTTGTGTATTTTAGGATTGTTCACTGCACGGATGGATTTATAAAGGATTTTGTTCAATTAAAACATCATGGATACAAGATTTAGGGGTCTCGTGGTGTTAATAAGGACCCCTGTCTCCTGTATTCTGCTAATTTGCAGCAACAAATACATATTGAGAGAAACATAATGCAGCTCAGATTTAGTCCTTTTGTCAACATAATGTGGAAATGTTAATTAGCGTATCTGGCACATTCATATTCCTGTGAACATAATCCAGCCATCAATTACGTTTCCCTTAATGGGCAAAACAAATGTTTAGTATGTAAACATAACTTGTAGGAGTCAAAGTTGTAGCAAATGTAGTTTAAGCTTCTGTAAAATGTTGGAAAAAGTATCTGATCCAAATAATCCTCTGGTGCTAATCTCATTATTATCCCAGGAATCGGTCATATTCTGCACTTTAGACAGTAATAGGCTAATTAAACATCCGTCATGCTTTCGTGATTCACATAAACTCGAAGGAACTGCGTCTCCGCTGTCTGCTCGCACTGAAGTTGGCTGCCGTCTACTACACCTTGCTGAGGAGGTATAATTGGCTGCAGCTCTGGCAGAGCAGTCCTTTTGAGCAAGACCCCGTACAGAAAGTAGAAAGTCAAAACATCCCGTGGCGTTCCCGGAGACTGCAGCAGTGACTCTCCTAAAATAAGACACATTCTCAAATTTAGACCAAGGGGAGAGAAAAGGAGGAAATAAGGAGTGCGATGAGAAGATGTGAGGAGTTTGAAGGCAACAGAAAAGGAAGCAGGGAGAGAGAGATCGAGAGAGAGAGAGAGAGAGCTGTCAGTTCTTAATAAGGTTTCTTAAATTGTTGAGAAGCGAGAGGAGGGTTGGAGAGAGAAAGATGGGTGAGATATTACATGTTCTTTGTGCTGGAAATAGTATATTGTGTCATTTGGACAACCATTTTTATGTTACTGTATTGAATTATTTAGTTCTGCATAATAAGGGCTGCATATTGTGTGAATGTTCTGCTCCCACTGCAAACATGATACAGAACTTGCAGCACCAGGAGTATTTTCTTTACATT